CGACGCCGCCGGCTCGACGCTGCGAGAAACTGGCTCTCTGCCACTGGCGACGGCACCGAAAACTCGCCAGCCACTAACCGGGAACAACGCTGCTCTCCGCCAATGTCCTGTTACCTCTCCCCGAGGGATACGACGGGAGGTGGGGGCCGCACGCGCTCCTATAAAGCGGATGATGCAGCCAGCGCGCGAGAGAATGCGTGATCGAGTGCCTGGAGATCGAGTGCTCTTCTAATGCTCCTTTGTACCTTTTTTTCGGTCTTGGATATGCTTTTCAAATTCCCAGGCGGGAATTTGTACCGTACGAGTTCTAAATGGAGGAGACTTTGAAGCTGACTTGCCAAATCGGTCAAATGCTCCACAAGTTTCTTATTATAAGGGAAGCTTTTTGTTAAAGTGCATTCTTTGAAATTAACATTGAGTTTCGTCAAGGTAAAAGATAAATGTGTGTACTGTTTTATGCTTCGTCGTTTATTTATTTTTGAAATTGTGGGAGGTTGGCATTTTTTAGTAAGGACCATTGAAGGTTTTAGGCATTGTTGCATATGGTATTCTGTTACTGTATAGATTCTAGTATTTGGGATGTTGGAATTTTTTAGCGAGGACATAATGGACGTTTTAGACGATATTGTCAATATTTGCGGATGGTATTAATGAATACCGATGACGTAATTTTGAATTTGCGGACATGAGAATTGAATGTACAGGTTGACTCTGTGTCCCAATATTTTTCATTGGCAAAGTTTGACAGAATGGTAACAGTCAACATTGATGACATATTTCTAAATTTAGAAGTATTTCTAGATTTTAAAGTTGGCAAATTTAGAAGTTATTAAGTCTCTGAATTCTATTATTCTTAAATTTTTAAATTCCTGGTTGCTGAAATTTCTAAATTCTGAAAACTCATTCCTTTCTTCGATATCCATTCATGCTTAAATATCTAAATGTTTAAATTTCTGAGTACCTAATGCTCAAAATTTAATAATCCAGAAATCCCTATATCTTAAAATTTCAAGATTCTTAATTCTTCAAATCTCTAGAGTCCTATAACTCTAGATCCTTAAATCCCTAGATCCCTCAATCTATAAATTCCTAGATTCCTAGATCCTTAGATGCCTGAACCCCTAGATGCCTAAACCCCTAGATGCCTAAATTCCTAGATGTCTAAAACCCTAGATCCTTAAAGCTCTAAGTCCATAAATCCTTAGATCCCTAAATCCCAAGATCTCAAAATCCCTAGGTCCCCAAATCCCACGATTCAAAAATCTCTAAATCCCCAAATCCCCAAATCCCTAAATCCCCAAATCCCAAGATTCAGAAATCTCTAGATCCCCAAATCCCTAGATCCTCAAATCCCTAAATCCCTAGATCCCCAAATCCTTAGATCCTCAAATTCCTAAATCCCCAAATCCCTAGATCCCCAAATCCTTCGATCCCCAAATCCCTAGAACCCCAAATCCTTAGATCCCCAAATTCCTAGATCCTCAAATCCCCAAATCCCTAGATTCCCAAATCCCTAGATCCTCAAATCCCTAAATCCCCAAATCCCTAGAGCCCCAAATCCTTAGATCCCCAAATTCCTAGATCCGTAGATCCCTAGATTCATAAATCCCTAAATCCCTGAATCTCTAAGTCCCTATATTCCAAACCCCCGAATCTTCAAAACTATCGAATTCCAAACTACGCCAAACTTCCCAAAAATTAAAAATCCTCATAAATCTTCAAATCCCCAAATCCACCTATTCCCAAGTTCCCCAACCCCCAACTCCTTACATCCTCAAAACTTTCACATCTTCATATCCCATAACTTCCACATTCCTAAACTTCCAGGTCGAAAAACATCTCGACACCCAAACTCGAAAATCTACCAATGAAAAATGAAGCTTGATGACCATTTTCCATACATCGTCACTTTCCCCAGGGAAGCTTACCACGTTCTCCCGTACAGACAGCTTAACGATAGCGAGGGGTCCAGTTTCCCCTCGATTCCACGCGTGCCCCTCCACCGTCACCTTCTTTCTCGTTCCTCTCCATCCAGCGTTCCCCTTCCTTCTATAGTTGCCCTATCCACCGTACAGAACACTCCCTTTCCCTGATTCATTCCGGTGTCGAGAGCCCGTGGAGTCGTGAGTTCTCTCCGGTGTTCACGGACACACCGAGGGCTCGCTGGATATTCCAGCACTTCGTAGCCGGTCCACGATGGATACTGGGCGAGTTCCACGCGTTCCGGTAGGTCGGTGCCGGCCGGAGAACCGGACCGGCTGCAAAAACGATTGCGTTTCGAGATGAGGGAGAAACGCTTCGGGCAGCTACCGCTCCTGCCACGGGCTTTACAGTCTGGAAAAATGTTTCGCGCCACGTCTGGAAGCGCCGACCACGGGATCCTTGACTCCCCGCTCGGCCAATGCGGATTTTTTGGACCATTCGAACCGGGTTCGTCGATCTACCTCCTCTCTTCTTTTATATGCCCTCGGTCTGCTCTCAAACAACGGCCTCAGAATGGACGTCAACTTTGGAGTCACCGGTTCTTTGCACTTTGCTGCAAAACCTTTTGCTTCACATTTTAAATCTTAAACTTATTAAATTATTTTATAAGCTTGTGAAATCGTCTTCGTCTTTTTATTTATTTTTAAATGAACATTACCAGTTTTCGTTTGTACTGAAATTTATACTGAAAGGCACTTCTTTCATTTTTCGTTTAGGATGGAATGAACTTCTTCCTTTTTTCTCTCATGTTGAAATGAACTTCTTATATTTTTTTCTATACAGAAAAATTTTGGTATATCTCTTTATATTAAAAAAAAAGAAATTTTGTATAATAAAACGGTTTATAACAGTTTGTTTGTAGTTGGAGAGTTTGCTGTATAAGGGTGGTTTAAATTTTTTATTGGAATTAGATTAGGGAGCTCTTTTGAAGAACAACTATTCTTTATCTACAATCAATTATGACTGCAGTCTTCTTCTTTAGACAAAAACGTCTATTGACAATTCAATATTGTTCGAGTCGATTACAGTTTCAAGTCAAATTACAAATGTTTTGGACATTCGTAGACCTTCAAATCGAATTAGCTTTACACAGGTCTGCACACAACTACAATATTAACAAAAATTCTTCTCAACTTTTTTATTTTGTTTAACATCATATGCATTAAAGAGCCTTTCAAAGATTGATTGATTGATTGATTGATTTTATATGTTCCTCAACTGCTATGATCATTGACCCACCCTTTTAAAATTAGCTGTAAAATATTTTATCTTTGTCTCAATCAGTTAGCTGGCACAAAGCTGTCACAACAGAGGTTATGTTCCATTCTAAAAGTCTACTATAGCATTGACCTATTATCTCAAAAGTATTTGCAAGAAAGGAAGCATGCATACGCTCAGAATATGTTACCAAAGTTTGATTACGTTCCTATCGTGCACAGAAGGGCAGATACCGATGTTTTCTGAGCCAACGCGAAAATACGGCGATTGCGAAATCGCCTAGACATTCTTGTCGGCCTATAAATTCGAAATAGCGTCGGCGATGCTGGAATAATAATGTCACTGATAAAATACCAAAGACCAGAGCCGGAGTAACCGTACTTCATTCAAGGCATTAGCGTCTGACGAAGGTATTCGCACTGTCTGGTAGAGGGACAAAGTGGGAGGGGCAGGTAGATAGAGAAAGAGGTTGCGTTGGAAAGAAATGGAAACAGGGAAAGAGAAAAGGGCATTGGCGTAACTGGATAGGGACTGGGATGTGACTGATCCCTTTTTAGAGGGATTTTCACTGTTAAATTCACTGTGAAAATTGTTAATGTAACAAGCAAAGATTG